AGAGGTGACCAAAAGGTTGACCAAAGACTGACCAAAGGCTGACTTGAGTAACTAAGTAAGTGACTAACAGTTGTGTGAAAAAGAGGCAGAGACGGTACTGGTAACCCTTCTGCCAGACATAGTTCATCTGGATTGTGAGTTTGAAACTACAAAGGTAAGTGAGGGCTCTATCTGGAGGCACCACTGGTCCATCAGGGGAAAAACATTATGATTCAGGAGCTCATTTCTTACTGCTTATTCTTCCTCTGACAAGAAAAAGGATTGGCCAAGGCCAGAGATCTGTTCTGGCATATCCCTGGAGGTATTACTATAGCTCATGTGCTAGGGAGTAATACTTACTCTTCCATCTGCCTGAAATGCCCTTCCCTCAAGCATCTACATGGCTGAAAGACCAGTGGTTTCCAACTGCACAAGACAATCAACTGGGGTCAACAGGAGAATATAATAGTGTGTATTTCTATTACATTTATTTTTATCTCATTCTTTAAGTTTTATATGTTTTTACAATATACCTAATGTCAGTATATATATCTAATTTATAAATATATATTCATATATCGTCATGTGTGTGTTCGAATTTTTTTACATGAAGATTATGTCATTTGAAATGTTGGAGACTACTAAGTTAGTCACCTTGTGCATCTCTTTTATGAAGGACTATGTGTTGCTGAAAACTCCAGGGGTTGGCCTTCTCTGATTCTGTGTAATATTGCTTGTCATTTTGCCCAGAGATGTAGTCTTTGATGTCTTTAGGAGCCAAATGGACAGGCTTAAGGGGATGAGAGAATCATGATTTTAGAAGACTGTCTCTTGCTTGCATGTCCTCCTGGGATTTGGTCATGTGAATCACTTGGCATCTCTCTCGGTACTAAGCTCTCCTGGCCAAATTCTGTCTCCTCTTACTGACAGCCACGGCTCTCTGGACTTGGTGTTGCCTTCTTCCTCACTTTGGGCCAGGGATTCTTCCCATTTTCTCTTTTGGAATGAGAAAGCAGAACAAAATTTTTAGCTTTTAGGCACTTGAACCTTAGGAACAAGGTCCTGACGCCCCGCCTTGACTGAGTGGTGGGATATCATGCTGGGACACAGGGCTGCTCTCTGACAAGCACACAGCTCACTCTGGCTTACTTTGTTCAGACTGTAGTGATTCTGAGTGGGCAACACCATACTGCCAAGTTTTACCTAGGTAGGGCATCTGCCAGGTAACAGAATAATATGTGGGCGCCAAGCCCAAAAAACAACTGCCTTGAGGTTTGTCCTAACATGTTGGAGTCTTTGTCCTTTTCCACAAAGCTTAGCTCTGTAGAGACTGACTATCCTCACTGGAGGTCTCCTTGGAGACCTTCTGCCATGTGTTTAGAGCAGTGGTTCTCAGCTGGGGGCAGTTTTATTCCCCAGAGTACATTTGGCAGTATCTGGAGACAGTTTTGATTGTTATGATTGGCAGCATGCTACTGGCATCTGGTGGGTAGATGCCAGGGTTGTGAAATGTAGTACAGTGCATAGGGCAGCCCCCTGCAACAAAGAATTAACGTGTCCAAAAGGTCAGTGCTGCAGAGACTGAGAAACCTGGGCCCAGACTGCAGTGTAGGGCACAAGCAGAGGAGTTTCTGCCTGCCAAGGGTCTATGCTCAGGCCTGTATCAGGGTGTCTTCCCTGTAGACAAAAGACTCTTGTGGCACTGCTGGCCTTGGACCTTTCAAGCAACAAGACATGACGTGGCCTTTCTACTCCATACGTCATGCTGGGTGAGGCCAAGCTCCTTTGACAATACAGGCAGGAGTGTGTTCCCTGCACTTTGCATGTTGGCACTTGTCTGTCCACCTCACATCTTGTGCCACTCTGCTAGGTCTTCATTACCTAACACTCTGGATGATAGCAAGTGAACTTGTTTACAGTGTATGTGGAGATATATTCATTTTCAGGAATAAAAGACCAATCCACTCTACTTTCCTAAACATGTCTTTAGTGCCTGTTCTGTCATCCTTCCTTTCCTAAGCCCTATGATTTGAGCATATCTCTTGGAAATTAATCTATCTTCCCTCCAATGTATTTCTAGTCTAGAAATTCAGCCAGGCAATGACTAAGCAGTCTCCATCTGAGCCCCCAGGACCTTGTTTTCTAGGATGCAGTTGAGTGCACTAGATCTGCCTCATTTCCTCTTGCAGAACCTTTCCTGTGTCTCTGTGAATGGTCTAAGCTACCTCCAAAGTCTCTTGGCTTTAGAACTTTTCTCCTGAGCCCGAGCGGTTTTTTTGGGACATGGAGAGATTAGAGTATTTTTGTCTTCCACTGTTTTGTTCTTTCTGAGTGTCTGCTTTATACCATGTGCTGGGCTCCACTGTAGAGGAGGAGAAGGATAAAGGGACAGGGTCCAGACTTGTAACTTCTCTAGTTTATATAGAGTGGCAGAAGCAACCTAAGATCTGAGGTGTGCCTACCAGAGGAATACCAGTAGCATCACTGACTCATTAGACGTAAGTTTGAGCAAACTCTCAGAGACAGTGAAGGACAGGGAAGCCTGGAGTGCTGCAATCCATGGAGTCACAAAGAGTCGGACATAACTGAGTGACTGAACAACAATCAGCATTCAAGCGTTTCAGAAGTAAACCTCCACTTGAGCTGTATATTTGTCTGGGAAGATTGTTGTTGCTGTTTGGTGACACACATTCAGAACATTTCTGGAATGCCTCATTTAGGGTAGTTATTCTTTGAGTAAATTCTTATTGATGCCACTGTATAAAAAGCACTATTTTAGAGACAAAGGGGGTAAGCAAAAATGAAGAGGACATGGTCCCTGCCTTCAATTTCTCCTGACCATTAAGGGGAAATTAGAAAGCATTCTCATCCAGGACAGTTTTGGGGAAAGATACAGATCGTAAAAGAGGACGGTAATAAATCTCACCATTTCATTCTGCTTCAAAACTTTTTTGGCTTCTTGCTGCTTACAGCAGTAGTTTTCAAACTTAAGGAATGTACAAATTCCTTTTAAGGGAAATCATTTATCTTGGGCCTGCAAAGCTGGTTTTATTTAATAGCACTCAAATATGTACAAACATAAAATAAAGCTTAAGTTGCTATATAAAATTTGTGTACAAATATAATCAAACAAAAACACACTGATACTTTAAATCAAAGCACATTTCATATCCAATAAAATGACACATTTTTGCTGAAACCCAACTGCTCCCACCCAAGGTTCTTTAAGTTCAGCATGGCTGTATTACTGGGTACTATATGGTGACTCAGTCCTCCCACTATTTTTCTCTATTCAAGCTCCTATGAAACTTTGTTTTATATAATGCATCATGATTTCATTTGACCTTTACTTGGCTTGAACATATTCCTTGTGCATTAAGTCCCCTTCTATTCCTTTATTATTGATTCTTGACAAAACATGGAGATAAATTTGTTATCTCTGTGGCTGAATACCACACAACTATTAAAAATATTTTTAAACTATTATTTTTATGGCTTTCCATTTAAAAAAAAATCACAGTCTTATAATATTGAGGAAATGATTAAGTACAGTGGTCCACATATGGTGATGATGTGATTTGCCATATTATGAATGATCACTCAGTAATTGTTTCAGTTAGAATTGACTCCTGTTGTGACAGAAAATCTTTTCAACCTGATATAAGCAAAAGGGGAAATTTATTTTTTGCACGGAACTGAAAAATATACTCATAGGGCTATCTATAGGTATGATCTCATTCAGAGCTCAAGTGGTATCATCTGGATCCATCTCTTGGCTCAGATTTGTATGAAGCTTTCCTGCAGTGTCAGGGAGAATATATGTGTGTGTGTGTGTGTGTGTGTGTGTGTGTGTGTGTGTATCCTCCATATATATTCTTATATATATTAAAGAATGTTATGTACATAAGATGTTTATGATATAATGGCCAGGGCAAGTCATGAAGTCAGACTGCTTGAGTTCAATATTGGCTTTACCAGTTCCTGGCTGGATAATTTTGGGAAAGTTACATAACCTTTTTGTGCCTCAGTTTCTTCATCTATAAAATAGGGATAAAGTGGTATATATCCTTCACATAGTTGTAGAAAAGATTAGTGAGGTAATATATGTGAAGTGCTTAGCACAGTACCTGTTATAAAGTAAGTGCTATGTAAATGATGGATTCTATTAGTATCATTTTATTATTATTATAAAAATATATGATATGATATAGTAATTCAGGATTGTTTTATCCCATATACACCAGGATAGTACAAGAAAAAAATCCATTCCCTATCAGTTCAGTTCAGTTCAGTTCAGTTGCTCAGTCGTGTCTGACTCTTTGTGACCCCGTTGACTGCAGCATGCCAGGCTTCCCTGTCCATCACCAACTCCTGGAGCTTGCTCAAACTCATGTCCATTGAGTTGGTGATGCCATCCAACCATCTTATCCTCTGTCGTCCCCTTCTCCTCCAGCCTTCAATCTTTCTCAACATCAGGGTCTTTTCCAAGGAGTCAGTTCTTTGCATCAGGTGGCCAAAGTATTGGAGCTTCAGCTTTAGTATCAGTCCTTCCAGTGAATATTCAGGGTGGATTTCCTTTAGGAGTGACTGATTTGATCTCCTTGCAGTCCAAGGGACTCTCACGAGTCTTCTCCAACACCAGAGTTCAAAAGCATCAGCTTTCTTTGTAGTCCAGCTCTCACATCCATGCATGATAACTGGAAAAACTATAGCTTTTACCAGACGGATCTTTGTCGGCAAAGTAATGTTTCTGCTTTTTAATATACTGTCTAGATTGGTCATTGGTCATAGCTTTTCTTCCAAGGAGCAAGCGCCTTTTAATTTCATGGCCACAGTCACCATCAGCAGAGATTTTGAAGCCCAAAGAAACAAAAAATACTGTGTGTATTCCTTTCATAGTTAGGATTTTATGGGAGAAAACACATAGACGTGGTGACTCTTAAGGTCACTGTGACTATGACAGTAAGTTGCAAGCATTGCTTGCATTCTGGAATCATGGCTTTACTTATCTCTTCCTGCAGTATACAACTGGACCGTGGATGAGGTGGTGCAGTGGCTGATCACATATGTGGAGCTGCCTCAGTATGAGGAGACCTTCCGGAAGCTGCAGCTTAGTGGCCATGCCATGCCAAGGTCAGGAAGGGAGTGGGTTTTCTCACTTGGGGTGTAGGGAATGGGCCGGGGTTGGCCTGCCTTCAGGTTGTTCTCATGTGTTAAATGAAGTTTCACTCCTTTCAGGGCAGAATCTGTAGACTTCTCTTCTCACATTTACTGTGCACTTGCTATAAAGCATAAAGGGCACTTCACATCTATTCTCTTATTTAATATTTCTATCAATCCTGGGAAGAGTACTAATGGCTACCATTTATTGAGTACTTAGTACATGCCAGGCACTCTACTCAACACTTTATATACAGTATCATTTAATGCTTACATCAGTCCTGTAAGGTAGGTATTATTGTGTCTAGGTGATAAACCTGGCTAAGTAACTTTTCCAAGGTCACATGGCTAGTTAGAGGCAAAACTGTGATTTGAACCTAGATCTGGGTAGACTTCAAAGCCTGTGCTGCTTCTCTTTTCTTCTGCTGGCACCCCGCCCCTCCGCCAGCAGCTGTCTCTTTCATTGTGCCCCGGGGCTCCTTTAACTTCCCCTGAATTACCCATATACAGTTTATCTACTCAAAAAATGGTGCAGAGATGGGGGCCAACTAGCATTGGCCCCAGCCTCCTCTCTGAAATGACTGTTCCAACAACTGTTGTGTCCTAACTCTGCCTCTCTTATAGATAAAGTATGCTAGGACTTGAGGTGGTGTGGGGAGGGGCTAGAGTACTGCTTGGACTTCTTGTTATGTCAACTAGTGCCATATGTCATCCAGTGATTGATCTATTTACTTAGTTATTCAAGCAATATTTACTGGGTACCTGCTCTGTGCCAAGCACTTGTGCTGAGTGCTGGGAATAAAGATGGCAACAAGTTGCCCTTGCCCTCAAAGGGCTTACTGTCTGGTAAGTGCTCATTATGTATAATCTGTCATCTTATTATGTAGGTGCATCTGGTTATGAGCTTCAGCAAAGGGAAAAGGGGAAGGTGAAGCTGTTGGAATGTCCACACATTGCAGCCTCCAGCCATAGAGCTACCAGGCACTGCTGTCCAGGCTTAGCTGAGCTGGCTGGTCCCTCCTCTGCTGCCCGCAGCCTCTTCTTCACGGCTTCTCCCTACTCTGGAGAGAGTAATAATCTTAATGTTTGTACATTCCTTTATAGAGTTTCTTTCCTCCTGTTATTTCAGTTGATTTCCACTATTCTGGGAGGAAGGAATTATTATCCCAACCTTTGGGCAAGCAAACTGAATTTCAAATATTTTATGATTTATCAAAACCTGTAAGTTGCAGAGCTGGGATTTGAACTTAGGTCTGCCTGGTTCTAAATGCCCTGCTTTTTTCACTGCATCTTCTTCTTGCCCCGTGTAGTTGAAAATAGGCATCCTGGAAATACTCAGTTTAGTTCTATTTAACAACACTTTACCAAGCATACCCTGTGCCATGCTCTCTCCTGGGCCCTGAGGACAAAGAAACACATCAGACCCTACATTTGCCTTGAGGAACTCCATGTTTAGTGGAAGAGACAGACAATTAAACAGATGATTAACCATGAAGCTCCAGGATTTAGGTTCTTTCTCATGGAAATAGCAGTATTACCTTGTGGATCCCTGACCCACGCCATTTTGAAGAATGGCAATGGCTTGGATTAAACTGGAAAACATAGATGAGGAATCATTTCTCAGGTAGTGAGCTCACTTGGCCATTCTGTGACTAGGATTAGTTCTGAGACCAGACCCAGCCAGGCTGGGCACAGGGGTAGAGGCAGCCAAACTGTGGTACCTCAGTGACAGTAGGATGCGTGGAACCTTCAGAGCAGGGACTGTGGGGTGGAGTGGGGGTGTTTTTTTAGCCCTGTCACTAGGCAGCATAGTGTAATGGGATGAATCTAGCAAATTTGGGTTGAATCCTGCCTTTGCCACTTACTTGCGGTGTGACTTTGGGCAAATTACTTATCATTAAGTCTCAGTTTTCTTATCTGTAAAGTGGAGCTAATAAAAGAACTAGGTTCCTAAAGTGTGGGGACTAAATGAGGTATTGTATGTAAAGTCTCAGAATAGTATGAGATATACAGCTGCTTAATAAATGTTAGTTCCTTTCTCATTTCTTGTTGCTTAGAAATTCATAGGTTTCTTTGACAAATAGAGTGGAGAAAGGTGATACTTAATTTGATCAGTTAGGTGAAGGCCAGTACACTTGTTAGAAGTGCTCTAAAGAGAGCCCCAAGAACTCCCAAGTTTGTAGGAAGCATCTGATTTACTTAAGTTTACACAGAAGGAAACTGAGGCCCCAGGGAAGAGATTAAGCAGCATATGTCAGACAAGTGAGTCATTGATGGAGCTGTGGCCAGAAGCTGGATCTCCTGACTATCCCCACCCCTACCCCACCCTCACCCACAGCAGGGTATCTCACTGCCTGTTTTATAGATGGGCTTGGTTGCTTCCCAGGACTGGAGAAAGAAGTAACTCAGCCTGCATGCCCAGGCAGGAGTGTAAATAACACACTGATGTCAGAAGCTTCTCTTTATCTAGGGAAACAAAGCTATGAATCAGAAAAGAGCACAAACCATAGTATAGTAGATCATGCTCACCTGTGGGACCCAGACCAGTGGTTTTTCAACCTTTCATGTCTTATACTCCTCTCCCCTCTATACCCACTAAATTTGAGCAGAAGAGAAACAAAGTCCAGTTTTTCCTATACCATTTCCTTGTTTACAGGTCCTCTCTTATTAAGTTATTATTACAGTATGATTGAGGAACATAAAAAATATAGTAATGTGATTGGGAGTCAATTACTATTACTCAAATACACGATGACAAGGCTAATGCAATGCTCTTTGTCAGCAGATTTATATTTAATGACAGTTAGGATTAGGTAAATTCAGAGGCCCTCAGAATCACTGGGTCATGTGGCATACGTAACATTTTGACCTGGGCTGGACAGGAGGATGCATTTACAGATGGTGGGAGTGTGGAGACAGGTGTTTGGTGGAAAATCCCTGGGAGAAGAAGCACAACAGGAAATTTACAGTTGAGTATGGGAATGGTCACAGATAGTTAATCCTTAGAAAATATGATATTCAGGAGATGATGGACATGGGAAGAAAGGTGAACAAATTCTTGGTGAATGTTATGTGCTGTCTTTACTGCTTGTTGAGATCCACTGGTGTAGACTCCAGATGCTAGAGTGCAGAGGGGAGCAAGCACCAGGAGCTAGAAGTCATGGAAGTGTTCCTGGAGGAGGTGGGTAATCCTACCAGGATCCTTCCTGCTTTGCTAGCAGGGAACTGAGCCCCTACTCTTTGCCCCTACAGGCTCGCTGTAACCAATACCACCATGACAGGGACTGTGTTGAAGATGACAGACCGGAGCCATCGGCAGAAGCTGCAGCTGAAGGCCCTGGACACGGTGCTCTTTGGGCCTCCTCTCCGTGAGTCCTGGGGAGAGGGAAGGCTGCTGATGTGCCATGGACCCCAAAGCTGGGTTGAGATCCTGGGTCTGCCCCAAAGGGATAATAAGATGAATGTTCTAGAGAGGTACATTGGAAGGTTAAAGAAGGCATTCTATAAAAGAGGTGGCATGTGACCTCTGCCTTTAAAGATAGGTAGGGCTTTATTCCATGGAGGAGGCAGGAGATGGCAGTCTAGGTGGAGAAGACAACCTGAGTGAGAATACAGACACTAAATATGAATGGTATGCTCGGGGATAACAACCTGAAGGGGGCTGAGTGCTGTCTAGCTCTCCCTGCTGTCACTGTGGATGTTCAGAGGCCATGGACTGATTGCTGAACATTTCATGTCCTTGAACAACCAAACAGGGCTAAGCAGGCTTTCACTGAAGCAACAGAGATACACTTAGACTAGGGCAGGTTGGTCTCTTCAGCCCAGGGTCAGTTGAGGGGATTAGGTGCTTCAGCTCCTGAACATCTGTGAGGTGGGAATGATCAACCTTGCCATCCTTTTTTATTCCAAGTGAACTCAACACAGAGTAGTAAGATTTCTTAGAAAATTCGCCTTGACCAGAAGGCTCTTAGGGCCTACTCTGTGTCCTTTGGGAGTTGTTGGCACCAGCCTGACCCCAGCAGAGGATGCCAGCAGCAGGATACTGTGAAGCCCAACACCAGTCTAGAGAAGCCGCCGGCAGGCAGGGTCAGCGGCAGTGTGACATTTCCCTGTCTCTGCATTTGGCTTGACAAGTGCCCAAGCTGATGTCTCAATAGAGGTGGATAGGTGCATACTTTTTTGGTTTAAAAAAGCTTTAATAGACTTTATTTTTATTATTTTTTAAGATTTATTTATTTTAGTTTTTGGCCACAGGGCTTGTGGGATCTTAGTTCCCCAACCAGCGATCAAACTCAGGCCCACAGCAGTGAAAACCTGAGTCCTAACCACCAAGAAATTCCCTATTTTTATTTTTTAATTTAAAACATTAAAAAAAATTTTTTTTTTCTCTTTTAGCCATGGCATGTGGGATCCTAGTTCCCTTACCTGGGGTTGAACCCATGCCACTGCAGTGGAAGCACAGAGTCTTAACCATTGGAACGCTGGGGAAGTCCCTAGACTATTTTTTTGAGTAAGTTTAGGTTCACACCAAAATTGAGTGGAAGGTACAGAGATTTTTCCATGTACTTCTGCCCCCATACATGCATAGCCTTCCCATTAAAAACCACAGTGGTACATTTCTAACAACTGTTGAACCTACACTGACACAGCGTTATCCCCCGAGTCCATAGTTTACATTCAGATTCACTCTTGGTGTTGTGTAGTCTGTGGGTTTGGACAAACGTAAAATGACTTCTATCCACCTGTGTGGTGTCAGACAAAATGGTTTTTCACTGCCCTAAAGATCCTCTGTGGTCCACCTGCAATCACTGATTTTTTTTTTACCTCTCCATAGTTTTGTCTTCTTCAGAAGGTCTATAACTTTTATAAGTGTGAAACAGAGCAACATGGGAGAAGACCATTTTTATCTGCTTTGTTGCCTTTTTTGGTCCTGTTTTATGTGCTTAGTCACTCAGTCATGTCCAACTCTTTGCGACCCCATGGACTGTAGCCCGCCAGCCTCTCTGTCTATGAGGATTCTCCAGGCAAGAATACTAGAGTGGGTTGCCATGCCCTCCTCCAGGGGATCTTTCCGACCCAGGGATCGAACCCAGCTCTCCTGCATTGCAGGCGGATTCTATACTGTGTAAGCCACCAGGGAAGCCTTTTTGGTCCTAGAACACATTTTTTCTTATCATCATTCATTTATAAGTTTTGAATAAATGACACAATGAAGGTTCTACTCTTAATGTGAGGCCCACCCTCTGTACTGAGCAATGGCTTTTTAGTCATCCACCAGCATTTTTAAAGCACCTACTGTGCACCATTAAATGACAGAGTCTCTTCTCTCAAGAAGTTCCATCTAAATGAAGATTGGCATGTCAACAAATTCAGTAAATGGTCAACAGATACAGTGGTAGAACAGTCGTGTAAGTCATTCCATAGTTCAGATGAAAGTACAAAGTAGGGAGGAGTTTTCAGTTGGAGACCAAGAAGTTTTATGGAGAGGATCACTCTTGAGCTGACTCTTGAAAAATGGAAAGTGGCCTTATTAAACTTTCTTTATTAACAGCCTGCCCCCCTCTCTTTATATACACCAGCAAAAATGTTTATACCAGAAGAATCAAACCCAGCACTGAAAGCTAGGTTATTTTTTCAGAGGCTCTCCCATGTCACCCTGCAGTTAGGGGAGGCCTTTGGCAGCCTGAAATCTTCTTTAGTCTTCTGAGATATACTAATAGACCATTAACACAGCTAGTGCTAGCAGTAAAGAACCCACCTACCATCACAGGAGATGTAAAATGTAAGAGATGTGGGTTTGATCCTTGGGTCAGGAAGATCCCCTGGAAAAGGAAATGTCAACCCACTCCAGTGTTCTTGCCTGGAGAATCCCATGGACAGAGGAGCCCAGGGGGCTACAGTCCATAGGGTTGCAAAAAGTCAGACATGACTGAAGCAACTTAGCACACACATGGTCTGTATCAAAATAGTATTTACCATATCTGAAAGGGTGTGTTAAAAACAGGTTAAAGTAAGTAAGAATTGCCAATGGAAAAATCAGCTAGGTCTAGAGAGCATGAGAATCAGAATCCTGGGTACATGGTACTGAGTCCCAGAGGTCAGAGCCAGCAAGGGGAACCCCAGTGAATTGGGTTAGGCTGATACCAGGACAGGAGTATCTTCTAGATTCATTTAGCCTCTAGGTTGCCTGTGACCTAATCTAAGGGAGGTCAGAGGTCAGCAGAAAACTGTTTCTGAGGTAGGCAGAGCAAAGGTACTTGAGTTAAGAAGATACTTCACACCCACTAGGATAGCTACAATAAAAGTGAAAAGAGGCAAGAACAGAAAGTAAGTGTTGGCAGGGATGTGGAGGAATTAGAACACTTGTACATTTCTAGTGATAATGAGAAAGGTTCAGCTACTTTAGAAAATAGTCTCATTATTCCTCAAAAAGTTAAACATAGTTACCATATAACTCAGTGATTCCATACCTAGGAATGTACCCCCAAATTGAAAACAGGTACTGAAACAAGTACATGTACATAACAGCACTATTCACAATAGCTAAGGTGGAAGCAACCCATGTGTACACTGATGGATGAATGGTAAATAGTCATAGTGTATAAGTGCAATGAAATATAACTCAGCCATAAAAAGAAGTGAGGTTCTGATTACATGCTACAAGAACATGTATGATTCCATTTATATGCAATATTCAGAATAGATAAATCCATAGGGATCAAATTAAGCTTGGTGGCTGGCAGGGGCTAGAGTGAGTGGGAAATGGGAAGTGGCTGGTAATGGGTATGGGATTTCTTTTGGGGTAATGATTAAGGTTCTAAAATTAATTGTGCTGATGGTTGCACAACCTTGTGAATACACTAAAATCACTGAATTGTTTCGTTTAAAAGAATGAATTTTAGAGTATGTGGATTATATCTCCCATCATCATCATCATCATTATTACAACTTGATTTTTTATAACCTTTAGACTTCCATTTAGAGAACTTCTTATAAACCTAGGGAAGCAGCTTGGTCTCTTTTCAAAATTGCCACTTACTGTGTGACCTTGTGTAGGTTGTTTTTCTCAGTATATATTTGCTGATTTGTATCATGAAACAACTGAACTGAAGGATCCTTATGACGCCTTTCAGCTGTGACATTCCATGATTTTGGGGAGAAACCCTTTGGTTGATAAGGATTCTGTGTAAAAGATACGAGGCCTGTTCTTTCCCCCTACTGCCTGTATCCTGTACTTTTAGGACTTCTGTGTTCAGCCCTTGTCTTATCATGTGACCTTTGACAGTTCACTTCTCCTGCCTAGACTTGGCTTCCCTCATCTGTGAAATGGTCTTGGTTATTAAGGCTCTTACTGGCTCTCTCATTCAAAAACTCAGATAGAATTGGTGTCCTCCTGGGAGCTAAGATGAATCCAGCAGGTGTCCTGATGGCAGAGATTGTTTTTTATACTTTCCTGCTGATGCTTCTTAAAGAAAAACTTATAAAATTTCCAGCTGGAACCTAAGGAAGATACTAGGAAGCTCTTTGCCAGGAGACTTCTGCAAGAGTGGGCCGCCCCTGGTGGGTGCCTGCAGAGAATCCCTTGACCTGTGTCCCCTAGGTTCTGTTTTCCCATTTGCACATGGACTAAAACCCCTAGTCAGTGCTCTTCCCTGACCAGCACCCATGCAGGATTTCGAGTGATGGCCTGTGTTAGCTTGGACCTGGGTTCTGCATCCAGGGTGAGCTGTTAAGGCTGTGGTCTCAGGCCTCCCCACTGGCTTGCAGTGAACACCCCCTGAGCACCTGGGCTGGCTTCAGTTGCCAGTTGTGGCTACCTTGCCCAGTCTTAATGAAATCCCACCACTGGTCTGAGGCTTGAGAAATTGCAAATCACAATTTTGTTTACAGTAGCTGGGGGGTCTGCTGAGTGAGTGGATCCATCTGCCTGCAGCAGCCTCAGAGCTTGGGAAGAGGGAAGGAGGATCAGACCGGCTCAGCCTGGAGTCCTGACCGTGGAAGACAGCTCGGCCCTCCCTGCGTGGGTCACAGAGCAGCGCAGGTGTTTCCCGTCTTTTCCACCAGCAGAGTTGGCTCTAGGCTGGCCCAGCTCGGGCTCTCCTGACAGTGCCAGTGGCCAGGTGTCAGGTGTGCTCTAAGACACAGAGGCCCAAAGACAGTGTTCAGTTTGGGGTCTCAGCTGATCTCTCATTATGGCAGCAAATGAGTCACTGAGGGAGAAATTGAGGCTCAAATGAGGGGAGTTTTAAACAGCAGAGCCATGACTCAAACCTAGGTTTTTGACTTATATTTCAGCTCTCTTTTCTACTATATTATCCCACCCTCCACTTCTGTGAGAGGAGACAAGATGTAAGATTCCCAGCTCTGA